AATTTTTTTATCCTTACGCCTTACAATTTTTTTTATATAACCGTAGTATTTTTTTTTGTAAACGTTGTATTTTTTTTATATAACCGTAGTATTTTTTTTTGTAAACGTCGTACTTTTTTTTTGTAAACGTCGTATTTTTTTTTGTAAACGTCGAATTTTTTTTATATAACCGTAGTATTTTTTTTTGTAAACGTCGTATTTTTTTGGCATAAAACATGGATATTTTTATTAGGCATAATTAGTTGATAGAGAAATAGAACACATAATAAGAAGTAAGATATAATGAAATACAAAGTAATAAAAAAAGAAAAGCATAAAGCAGTAAAATAAATAAAAAAAGAGGGACATAAAGTGGTAAAAAAAATAAGAAAAAGAGGGACATAAAGTGGTAAAAAAAAATAAGAAAAAGAGGGATATAAAGTAGTAAAAAAAAAATAAGAAAAAGAGGGACATAAAGTAGTAAAAAATAAAAATAAAATAAAAAAAGACATAGAGTGTAAAGAGCTTAAATAGACATAAAAGACATACTTAAAGCTTTCGCTCTCTGTTCAAACAGCGAGGAAAGAATGAAATGGCATGGTTAATCCAACCCAAACAGTCCGAAAGGGTGACAGTCTTAGCTGATTCTGTAATCCTTAAGATGAGCCCGTCTGACTCTGTAATCTCTTCTCTGCGGACACCAAACTTGATCTTGGACCACATTTCCTCAATTGGATTCAGGAAAGGTGAATACACAGGAAGATATGCACACTTGTACCCACGGGAAGAAATAAAGTCTTTCACCTCATCGGCCTTATGGATAGGAGCGTTATCCATGATGAGATAACGTCCTTGCATACCCTGGCTGTCCAGAACGTCCATTGTATGACTAAGAAAGTCGAGGTAGTGCTGGGTTCTGGTGCCAATTCGACCGTTCACCTCAACGTTGGTGTAGATGTCCAACTTTCTCTTCTTCTTGGTTGCAACTGCAGTGGGTTTCTTCAACGAGAGGCTGACGATCCCTCTCTCGCACATTGCACCAAGGATGGTGATGGACACACCTCTCTGCGTCGGGACAGTTGTCTTTGCTGGGGTGCCACTGACGGAACGGCCAAAAGTTCTCTTGATGCGCATGTTGAAGCCTGCTTCATCGATGAACACACAGTTCGACAGATAGTTGAAATCCGCAAGTTGTTGCCACTCCAAAATGCGGTCTCGTCTCATCTCAATTGTGTTGGCGTCGTCTCTCTTCTCAGGCAGCTTCTCCAACTTCTTCATCGTCAGGGCACACTTCTTCACCAAGTGCTTCTGGATTGCTGATTTGGTAATCTGCAGCCCAGAGAACTCTTCCATGACAGCTATCCTTGCTTGTTCCAAGGTAGCATCTGGTTTATTTTCGAAAAACTTCAAAAAAGCAGAGTGCGCCTGGAACAACTTTTGGTTGCCATGTTTTCGTTCTTTAGGCGCAGAAACCTCCTCAACCTCCATCGTCTCCAGCCCATTGGACTCATCAGTCTCCACTGTGGCAGCATCAAAATCGGCCTGGATCTTCTCTCTGGCCAGCCTGACATAGTTCTGGGCAGTCCGGACATTGATCCCCGTTTCCCTGGCAGCGGCAGCAGCAGTCTGGTTTTCCGAGAAAACCAAGGAGAAGAGCTTGTTCACCTGGTTTTGGTTGTACTTTCGGTACGAACCTCGACCTATGCTTTCTGCAGTGGGAACAGAATCAGGATCGACCTTCTCCGGCAGATTCGTCTTCGGCTTCTGTGCAACAATTGTCTTGGTTGTGGCCTCGTTGACTTCGGTTGGCAGGAAACTTTTGAGACTGAGGAGGTTTGTGACTGCTGGGTTTCCAGCCGAGGTACGGGTCCATTCCATATCGGCATGGTTGACAAAGACATCTGTCACAGATCGGAGTACAACTTCTCCATGCATTTCGTCGACAATCTCTTGGTTGAAATCGCACAAGGGGTCGAAAGCAATTCCAGAAAACTGGGTTTGGTCTGCAGAACCGCTGTGACTGACCATTTCACAGTGCTTGTCCATAACAAATTCGAGGGAGTTGTTGGAAGTAGGCATTTTTTTTTGAAAATAAAAAGGGTGTTAAAATCGAGGAAGAAAGATAACTGAGAAACTTTTATTAAGACACTGGGGTATATATACCAAAAAAAAATATATTTTAATAACTTAAACGTTTCTACCAAGGTATAGTCTTGTCCTGTTGTCTTAATATATTTGGATAAAGAACGTGTTGAAGAATAATGAATGTTTACATATTAAGCTTCTTCACACTTTTAAGAACATTTATTTTATTAGCCGATTTACAGTGCTACCAGAGCCTTTATGGTGTCCTGTCCTCTGTCTCGAAGGAAGGGGTGGGATTTCTCCTCATGGGTTTGCCCAACCAAAAAAAAAATAAAAAAAATAAAAAAAAAAAAAATAAAAAAAAAAGAAAGTTTTTTTTTGTATAGAGCCAAGGAAAAGCTCGAAATTCAGTTATTGAGATTTTCAGTTTTTCAGAAATTTCTGCGGTTAGATACCATTTTATTTTCAGTTATTAAGATTTTCAGTTTTTCAGTTATTGAGACTTTCATTTTTTCAGTTATTGAGACTTTCAGTTTTTCAGTTTTTCAGTTTTTCAGAAATTTCTTGCAGTAAGATATCATTTTATTTTCAGTTATTGAGACTTTCAGTTTTTCAGAAATTATTTGCGAAAAAATGGTTATGTATATTATAAAAATTTATGAATAAAAATGCTAGTTATACTATTTGGAGAATTATTTTTAAAATTGCTATTACATTTTTCTTTTTTTTATTTCTCTTTTTTTTTCTTTTTTTTATTTCTATTTTTTTTATTTCTTTTTTTTTTATTTCTTTTTTTTTCTTTTTTTTTATTTCTTTTTTTTATTTTTTTTTTAATTTTTTTTTTATTTCTTTTTTTTTTTATTTTTTTATTTTTTTTTTATTTCTTTTTTTTATTTTTTTTATTTTTTCATCTCTTTTTTTTTTCATCTCTTTTTTTATTTCTTTTTTTTGTCATGAGCTTGTGCTATTTTTTGTTACTGTTTTTGTGTGTGTAATATTTGGGTTTTTTTTAGTATTTTGTATCATGAGGGTTTCCAAAATTGAGATCGGGTAGTATTGTGAGCAAAGCATAATTCTTGGACCGCTTTCAGTTGTTTAACAGATTGTTGGACATTTACTTGTTTCGAGTGCAGATTACAAAGAGTTGTTGAGTTTGATATTAAGAAGATCAGGATTCTGACATTGTAAAATGGTTGGAGCAGGTGCTGAATAAATATAGCATTTTTGGATTCTTTTTTGTAATGGTATTAGATGCTTGTGTAGGACCAGGTTCATAAGAAATACAATTGCTGTGGTAGTCAATCAGATTACTGGATATTTGAGATAAAAATTGGCAAGTTTTTGTGTGGTCGGTAGAGTGAATTCTACTGTTGGATTTCGAAAAAGTATAGTCGGTGGAATGCACTTAAAAGCATTATGAATATGTGTAGACTGGTTCCTATCGTACAGGTAGATGTTTGATCTTGTAGTTTCTTTGTAGGTGGAGGGTTGAATCGTCACGTTTTCTTTTCAGATTTATAGCTTTTGTTCAAAATACTATAGATTATTTAGAGATTAATATCAATGACTCCGAGGTATAGGCTTTATTTACATACAGAAACATAATGTGATCTGGAAATAATAAAAAAATCCATGAGGTGTAGAGCTTTAGGCAGTGTTTTCATTGTCAGAGTAATATTTAGTTGTTGAAGTGAGCATGAGAATGAGATTCATTGCTGATTTAAGAAGAGAAATAAACAGTTTTGGTATATAAACACCAAATGGAAAGAGAGAGAATTATGATATCTCTTTTAAAAAAGAATGTTTATAATAAATTTATGGCTGCGGGTAATATATTGTCCTATTTATTTTTTATCTCCTTGAGTTCAATTTGTACTACTTTATTTAGTGGACCTTGGAATATTATTTTTTGATATAAAAAGCTGAAAATATAATGACTAATACTATTTAACAACAACTCAATCTTCTTTACATCTATTCTTGCTGCTTCAACTTGTGTTCTGATTTTTATCTTGCATCTTAAGTAATTACTATTTAATTATAACTGCTATGTGCTAGATATAACTATATTTATATAAAATATGTCACTTTAACATATCTTCCTATTTCTTTATTTTTTCACCTTTTATTATCAGAAAACCCTACAATGTTACACGAAAAACTTGAAGAATATAACAGTGCCTTTGAAAAAATCATGGAAGAGCTTGAAGAGCCTGAAATGCCAGAAGATCCAAAAAGTTCTGCCCTGTCAACAACAGACGAAACCCCCAAAAAAAGTAGAGGGCAATATCAAAAGCCTATGGATAAAGATATAAAAAAGCTTGTTTATCTCTACTTCATAAGGGGATTAACTATCGAAAAAGCCAGCAAGATAGTAAATATGAAACAAACAACTGCTGGTGGCTATATTTTGAAGTGGAGAAAGTCTCCAGTTGTTTTTTTCATTAAAAACAACAAGGAGGCTACAAGTGACGAAAAAATGAATCTTTTATTCGAAACTTACTCTGCAATAAAGAAAGCATACAAATAATATCATTGTATTTTCAATTTTAACATAATTATTATAATGAGATACTTGCTTTATTATCTTATAACTGCAGTAAGGTATTTAACTTTAACAAAGTAATCTGGAGAAAAGTTTGCATATTCTGTTAGTTCTCTCTATAGATATTTTCTATGACGTATCTTTGTAGAAAGATCTACATATATTGAAGTGCTATTACATTAGGCGTTTGGCACTTATATAAAAAAATATGGCAGTTATATAAAAAAAATACGACGTTTACAAAAAAAAATACTACGGTTATATAAAAAAAATACAATGTTTACAAAAAAAAATACTACGGTTATATAAAAAAAATTGTAAGGCGTAAGGATAAAAAAATTGAGTGCCATGTACCCTTCCGCCAATAGTAAAAGGGGGGGAGCAAATTCAGATGGCAATGGGAGCAAATTCAGTTGGCAATGGATGCAAATTCAATTTCTATGGAAACCAATCAGATGTCAATAGGTTCTAATTAGATGGAAATAGATGCAAATTAGATGGAAATGGGCGCCAATTGAATGGATAAAACCAGTATTATCAATATTTTTATATTTTTACAATCAATTTTTTTTAAAACATTTAACAAATATCAAATCTGACCCCCCAAAAAAATACATGTAACATGCAAAACCAATTTTTTGGTGATGTTGTATATGTTTTCAGTGATGTTGTATATATTTTCAGTGACATTGTGTACATTTTCAGTTTTGATTTTCTAGCTTGTCTTGCTAGCATAAATCTAGCTTATCTGTACTGTTCTTCTAAAATTATTAATCATATTAGTGATTTAATTAATAAAAATCTAATTGATTTTAAAGTTTTCCTCTATTTTTTTACAAACACATGCTCTTATACATCTGTATATTGATAATTTTTTTAAAAATAACTCTCATACAATGCCTTCTATAATCTCCATCAATGCTTGCCAATGTGAATCAAAAACGTATTGCAGAATGTTTCATTGTAATTGTCCTCTCAAGATAAGGACTCTATTTAGCAAAATTTGTTTTTTTTGCGCAAGTTGTAGATCAACTAATTATAGGCAATCTACTTATACTGTTTGTCTCAAAAATTACAACAACATCATATTTGTTGATGTAAGTTATCAACAACCAATAGAAATTAACAGCATATCTTCTGATGTAGAAATTATTCAAGAAGCTGCAGTAAGAAGCGGAGATAATTGTCCAAGATATGGGTCAAGCACTCATTATCATGCAACAAATATGCAATGCTCATTTTATGTTCCAAGAAAAAATCCAACCCAAGCTGCTCAAGCATTCTCACAGTATAAAGTTGCCTGTACCATTCTTTTTTCTATTGAAAGTGTGATTGGTTCTAACATCTATCAAATTGAGAGCCCAAACTATTATCAGCATGTCTTTCTATCTAGAGAAAACAGATGTCTCTTTTGTAATGCACATATGTGCATAGATTAGCATCTTTAAGCAACTAGTGAACAAAATCCCCAGTTTGGACTGTTGTTTAAATGAAAAAACTATTATTTCTTTACGTATTGCATCTCTAAAGAAACTATTAGACTTTGTAACAAATCATAATATTTCAGATTGCCAGGCCACAAACTTCCATAAAAATATCAGAGCCTTTAAAAGTGCATTTGCATTTGCTTCAATTAAGACAGACATGGATGAAAGACTTGCAAGTAAAACAGATGATGTCTTCACATTCCATATAAATAATATCATATATCATAATATTGTTGCATTTCAATCTCAATATTCAAGAGCTGCTGGATTCTCACAGATTTATTTCTGTAACACAAATAAGCGACTTACTAGAAGAACAACACTTTTCTAGACTGAATAAAGCAACTATTAAAAAAATTCAGAATATAATAAATACTTGCAATCTATATGCTTGCACACTTATATCAGTAGCTGCAAAATTCTGTAATTAATCTTTTGTATCTCTTTAAGTAATTATTACAGCAGCCAGAGATATAGATCAATGTTATGACATCTAAAGTTCTCCAGAAGCTACAACAATAGTAATTGAGAGAAGTGTCAATAGAACTGCAGCATTCCATAATATTGTCATAAATAAGCAAATTCCAAAACACTAATCAATTAACTCAATGCATTCTACATATGCTTTTTTACACTATGTGCTCATGTTCCCATTTCGTGATGATGGCTAGAATGAAAACTTAACATGTACTTCTATAAAAACTGCTTTAATTTGCCAGAACCATCAAAACTGCCAAATAGTTCATGTCACACTTCGAGAGCACTACTCTTATCTTATAATGATTCATGATAGGACTTATCTTCACTAGTATGGCAGATTATTTGAGTAATACTTGGTAAATAGTTATGTTTAAATTGAGACAAGTTGCATTTTGTACATTGGACTTAATCAAGATAACCTTCTAACGGAGCTTTACAAAGAGATATCAGACAATGCAGATGATTTATATCAAATTAAAAAAGCAACAATTCTTCTATCATCTTTTACTGGCGGCCCACAATGTATGAAACAGATACTACAAGATGGATTGGCTTTGATTTGCACTCATGAAGTACCAACTCTTTTTATAATATTTACATGCGATTAAAAATAGTCAGAAATTGTTCAAGAGCTCAATAATCAAAAAGTATAAGATTATTCAGACCTTTGTGTTCATATATTAAATATGAAAATCAAAGAATTCATCAAGCATATAAAAGATAGTAAATGCTTTAGTAAAGTATCATCTTATATTATAACAATGGTATTCCAAAAGAGAGACCTTTCACACACATATACTTTTTATTCTTGAGAAGAGAGAGCATTCACAAACATCCAAAGATTTTGATATCTTTATCTGTGCTGATATACTTAACCCTCAAGTACATCTTCAGCTATATAATATTGTTGTAAACTCAATAATACATGATCTATATACAAGAAAGAACCCAAATGTAGCCTGTATAACAGATTTTAAGTGTAGTAAGAGTTAGCAAAAAGAATTTGTACATGAGACACATGTGATCAAAAGTGGCTATCCCATGTACCACAGACAAAACAATTGCTAACTCTTTACTCTCAATGGTGGCAGATTCATTATAAAAAATGCACATATAGTATCTCACAGCCTGAATATGTCTCTCAAATATGTCATTCATATTAATATTGAGATTTGCTCAACTAGTTATACAATAAAATATCTCTCTAAATACATTACAAAAGGCTTTGATAGAGTTCAGCTTGAAATTAGATATCAAAATACAGAAAATATAACAAATGCATAAACATCAACAAGGGCACACTGGAAAAAAGTAGAAAAATACTGACGTGTATATATGGGCAAACGGTACTGGAATAACGTGATATATCATAGTTGATATTTTTTTCCACTAGGTTTTAAGGTCATCTAGCACTGTATGTGCGAGACTTACAAACACTACAGTATATGTAGATGGGGGGTTCCGCAAGTAAGGTTTGGTAGCACTTTTGATATACTCGTTATGCTTAATAAATAAATAAAAATATTTAAAACTACGGATTTATCTCGGTATTCTTGACACAGAACAGGAAAGGTCAAAGACGGATTACATCATGTATATTGCTCCAATGGTTTATCTGTACTACACCTCACCTTTACTGACCACCTTTACTGACCACCTATACTGACAGTTCTTTAAAACCTCCAATCATCAACAGCATAAAAACACGTCTTTAAAATTATGGACCAGTAATATGTTCTTTATTTATTTGGTTTCCCGTTCTTGTTAGGTTGGTAATAGTTTATGCTTTTATTTTTATTGGAAAGAATAGAATGTTTCTAGGTTTCAAATCTAATAAAGCTATTCTATATTCTCGGCTACTTCTTGCTCGGCAAGCTTGTTATATTTGGGATGAAAAATTTTCTACAAAAAACAAATACCTGAAGAAAATGAGGTGCTCGTTACCTTTTTTTAGGGGTAAGAGCAGTACTCTTTGAGAATAGATAAAACATTAGTGATGGGAGTGCGTGCGTGTTTTATACTGCAAATTTTATGGACTAATTAATACTTACATTGGAAGTACCCAGTACAAATAGACAAAGAAATAAAACATTTACAGTAAAGCACGGGATTATGATTTCTTTGACTATAAAACGATAGGAAAGAATTAATTTTTGTGAATTGCGTGATAGAATAATTGATTTACATACCAAAGGCAAAGGATTTCTTTGCAGACCAAGATATTATCTGTAAAGTGGTAATATCGTCTCTAGTAGAGAATATACATTAATATACAGTATAAATAATATTATTGTATTTATAGAAGTAAATAAAAGGCTTACCATGGCAATGACGGTAGCATGGGATGGAAGTTCTTGAGGAATGGCACGTTCGTAAGAGGGATGTTCATCTATAATAGAAATTATATTCAGTTAGATAAATATTAAAAAGAAATAGATTAAAATAAAATAGAATATTACCGTGTCAATATCCGTGTTTGATTGTAGAGAGTATTTTTGGCGATGTGGCCTATATTAAAGAAAGAAAAAAGTCAGAATGATTGTATGGAATGATGGCATAAAGTATATTTACTAACCCTGGCTAATCCGGATGACTGTTGTGAAGATGGCGCATCAGAATGAGACAAAGAGTGAGTTTCTATGACATTAAAATATATTGTTATTTTTTAGTTATACATAAAGAAGTATATATTTCTTTTAAAACAAAGAAAGTGCCTTACCATAAAACCTTGCGAGTGTAAAGAGTGAAGAGAGAGAAACAGATAGAATACCTATGACAGACAAAAAAATTAATTCTTTTGTTCTTTGTAAAGAAGTATTTTGAACCAAAAACAATCTTACCAGAAAAATTTGCAAATATAACAAGAATTGAAAAGAGAGAGAAAAGAGGGAAATAACAAAAAACGAATAAAAAAAGTAAAAAAAAAAATCTTAAAAAAAAAAGAAAAAAGTGTGTTTAAAACAAAAGACTAAAATGATTTCATCAAGTCCCAAAGCAATATGAAAACCGATTTACATCCCAGTCATTACAAGAAGTATTAATAGAGATTCGTATATCAAATATATTTTGAATATATATAATAATCATACCTTTCATATAATACACTTTCCCTTGCTCTTACTCTCTTGCTACTTACTACACTTATACTCCCAAATCAATACACTTGTTCTAACAATTCAAGTATGTAAACTTGATACGATTTATTTTTAATTAAATTTACATAAATTTAATTGTAGAATGACAGCAATAATAATAATATAATCTGAAAATAATTATTATAACCTTTCATTTTATTATATTCTGTAGACAATGACTAACACAAGACGTGAACGTGCAATTGCCCTTCGTCCTGTTGAGATTACCAATCAGCAGCTTATGGAAATACTTTCTACTGTGAGAGCTGATATGTCTACCGTAAAAGGACAGATTGGCAATGTTGAGCAAACTCTGACCAACATGAATGGCAGAATTGGCGTTCTTGCCACCACCAGCACCGACACCATCAGTGCCATAGATAGTTTGGCCAGAACTCCCCTTGCTGCTCCTGTGAGAGCCGAACTCACTGTTGCTGCACACTGGAAAAATAGGGTAATTTCATCTATGGCGTAGGGTACTATTATTTGTGGAGTGGTAGCTTAAATTTCCATCACTTTTGTCTTTTTATTTTCGACGGCGATGATAATGCTCGGTCTGTTTTATTGGATAAAAAAACGAGTTTACTCTTTTTTGTAAAAAATGTCTGCGAGATTTCTTTTTGGGACTTGTAGCCATGTCGCAGAGTCAATAGTTGTAGGAAACTTAAGCCAAATGATATCTTTTGAGTGAGATAATAAAGCTTTTTATTGTTGTAATATTTATTTATAAGTATGATGAGGTTAATGGTCGTGATATTACTACAAATATTTTTGTTGTATATGCTCTACAGCCAATAAAATGTACATGACGACATGTTTTAACAAAAGCGTGTATTATTGTATTTTAGAATGAGGCAATCAATTACTGTTTAGAGAACTGCCCATTTTAATAACCGGAATAAACTATGTCATTTTGGAAGCTGGTATAATTTGGAAAGATATATATTAAATTGTGTTCCTGAACAATTTTCTATTCTTGTCAATTCTAAAGACTTAAAAAATAAAACACACGCACACAATATGTCAAACAACAACAACAATTCAGAATGCAAGTGCTCTAAATGCTCTTCCAATAGCATGGGATTTGTTTTGGTGTCTACCCAAACACTCAGAAGACATGCACAACAGGATATCGTGAGACAATATCAGTCAGGATCTTCTTGTAAGTTCAAATTTAAGAAAATTATTATTGAGACAATTTTAATTAAATATTTATTTTCATATAATATAGCCTCAGTTATAGAAGTAATGTCGAATGACAATGACATGGAGATTGACTTTGAAGACAATGTTGATGCCGAAGATCAAGTTGAAGGTATGCATAGTATTTTTATTAAAGTTTTATAATCATTTATAATATCTAATAATTTGATTCTTTTTTACCTAACAAAACAGCCGAAGACTTACCTCTTTTTGGCATTGATTCCTTGTTTGATTCTGAAAGCGAAGATGAGGGTGTCATTGAAGCAACCATTTTGGATATTTCTGACGATGAATCTGATGATGTTAGAGGTTAGTACAAAAAGCACATATAAATCAATAAAGTCAACAAGTATTGATTTTTTTTTCAAATAGAACACTTTTCTTCATCCAATATGCCAGTCGATCCTACTCATGCTTTCATTGCTTCTTTTGCTGCCTTCTTCATATCCAAATATGTTGTCAATTCTGGTGGTGCTGTTCTGTTAAAGTTTCTTAACGAAGTATTGGCACACTTTGGACAGTCTTTCCGTCTTCCCCTCAGTATGAGTGGTGTCAACTCTATGACCGGTCTCAGCGACGTGACTCGAGGTGTCCAGCGGTTTGTTGCATGTGGCGATTGTAACAAAGTATATGAAGAGTCCGATGTTGTTCCAGAGTGCTGTAATTTCGAGAGACTCTCTGGTAGAGAATGTGGAAACGCTCTTTTCTTTGCAACATCAAGAGCCTTGACTATCCCCAAAAAGATCTACATGTATAACTCCATAATCAAAACATTGTCTATCCTTTTTTGCCACCCTGGATTCGAAGACACCATCAACCATTGGAGAATCAGAGTGCAAGTTCCAGGCATGATGTTTGACATTTACGACAGTACGAAGTGGAACAGTCTGAAGGATAGCAATGGTTTACCGTTTGTGAATCATGAGCGCTCCATAATGCTTACCATGAACATCGATTGGTTTCAACCTTTCGATGGGGTCACTTACTCCTGTGGTGCGATATACCTTTGCATCAACAACTTGCCAAGATCGGAATGGTACAAGAAGGAGAATGTTGTTCTCGTTGGTCTCATGCCAGGGCCCAAGGAAGCAAAGACAAGTGAGATCAATCACTACCTCCGTCCCCTTGTTGCGGAACTCAACCAGTTGTATGGCGGTGTGGTGATGCCTACCGTACAGTGCCCATCTGGTGCTCTTGTCCGTGCTGCCCTTCTTCTTGTTGCCTGCGACATTCCTGCTGCCCGTAAGACTTGTGGGTTCACCTCTCATTCAAGCACATGTGCATGCAATAAGTGCAACCGACAGTTCCCTCGCCTTCCAGACTCCAATGCTGTGGACTACTCTGGGTTCGTGTTTTCTGAGTGGGTGCCTCGCACTGATGCCGAAAACCGCCGTGATGCTGAGTTGTGGAGAATGGCCAGCAGTGATGCACAGAGAAAGAGATTGGAGAGGGAAAATGGTGTCCGATAGTCAGAATTGCATGACCTGGTTTACTTTAACCTCGTGGAGTGCACTGTCATCGATCCGATGCACAACCTGTACCTCGGAACAGCAAAGAGGATAATGGAGAAATGGAGATCTTCAGGTCTCATCACAGATGCACACTTGGCCGAAATGCAGTTGGATGCTGACAAGCTTGTACTGCCAGAGGACTACACGCCATTAGGGACAAAGATCGGGCGTGGCTTCCCATTCATGAAGGCCGACGAGTGGAAGTCTTGGTGCTTGGTGTACTCTCCTGTTCTCCTGCGTGATCGTCTACCTGAAGCTCATCTCGGTAACTGGACAACGTTTGTCAATGCATGCCAGTACCTCTCAATGCCAAGCATATTCATGGCTCACCTTGATGAAGCCCATCAATCTTTGGAGGCTTTCTGCAGAGAGTGCAAGAAGTTGTATAAAGCCCCATTCCTTTCGCCAAACATGCATCTCCATCTTCATCTGCGAGAGACTGTACTGAACTTTGGCCCGGTTTATGGCTATTGGCTTTTTAGTTTCGAAAGATGCAATGGTATCTTGAAAAACTATGCGACAAATAGAAAAGACGGGTTTGAGGGAACCTATATGAAGAAGTATCTTGAAGAAGCATACCAGGGAGATCTTATTCGCCAAACTTTGCCAATAATTCGACCTGAGCATTCGGCGATCATCCTTGAGCTCACTGCATCCACTGCCAATTCCATAACCACTTCCACTTCCACTGCCAATTCCATAACCACTTCCACTTCCACTGCCACCTCAATCCAATTCGATATCAATGCTTTTCTTGATTCTCCTGAGATCAACTTTGATATCGTCAAGGGAAACGAGCCTTTGCCCCCTTCCGCACTTCCTTTAGCTCTAAAGGGGGAGATTTCCATGGATGAATCCGAGTATGAGCATTTGTTGGAATACTATCGCGAGACATACGATGATCAAACTCTTGTTCATTATCGTCAGGCTGGTCATTCCGATAATTTTGTTAACAATCGGATACAGAAGTTTGAATCAATCAATCTTCTTGGGCAAATCTACAAGAGCAAAACGAAGAATCAGCGTGGGTCGTTCATGCAAGCCTTGTTTGAGACAAGTGATGGTAGAAGTACCAAGCCATACGCGGGCCAAATTCAGTACCTCTTTGTCAATACTGCTGTAAACTCGTTTGCTGGTCATGCGAGCCAGCATGTATTTGCATATGTACAATGGTACAAGGAAGTTTTACTTCAGCCCAGAGCAGGAGAAGGAGTTGAGGTGAATGAGGTGGGGTTCGAAGATGACAGCATGAACAGCATTCTCCCAGTGCATAGAATCTGCTATCCAGTTGCAGTAGGCGAGCACCTTGGTCTAGAAGGCGAAGTTCAGATGTGTGTAGTTCCTTTGCCACGAAAAATATATATTTAGATTCAAATACAAAAATAAAACACGTATAAAAAAGAAAAATTAATTAATACAGACTAATATATATAGCTGCACGTTTATTTTTTATTATTTCTATAAATTTTTGTTTGTACTTGGCATGCTATACATGCATCTGTATACATCATGCTAATCCGTAAACATAAACAAGTAGAAAAAAGACTCTAAAATAGTTGGCAAGAAAAAAATGATTTATTTTGAAAAGCACCAATCTGGTAAAGTGACTGCCAAATTCTCGGGAATGCTCACTTCTTTCTCATAAGGGATGCGCTTTTTCAAGCTTTCTGAATTTTTCTTCAAACGGATAACAGTAAGTTCATCAATAGTACTAATAAACGTCTGGAGCTGGTTTAAAGAATAAATAGTATTAATAAAGTATTATTATTTTCTTTAAAACATAAATAGATGTTTAACATTACCTCATCAGTTCTCCAGCTGGGACGATATGCCCGCACTTTGTTATCTCCATCCGACTCGCCATCAGACATCACGTCAATAGAAAGAATATTTCCGCAATCATATCGATTCATGCCCTCATGAATAGCCTCTGTGTATGTCTGGTACGTGATAATACAACGGTCAAGAAGCTACCAAAGAGTATTGTATTAAAACATTAAATCAATAGTAAATTAACTTTATTTTAAAACTTACGGTCTTCTTTCTGTTGCGTCTTCTTCCAGCTTTATTTCTAGCCATAATCTTCTCTGCTGAGGTCCGGAAGACTCGCACTTGATTTTGGTAGTGATTCTTTATTATATTCATAATGACACTCTTTGACACATTTGTGCAACATCTTTGAGGTCTCAGGTACTTGAAGAGAGCCAGTGCAAGTGTCTTGTTGTACTTGTTGCCATATGTGCCAGTCATTGACCATGCTGATCTATTATTATTCTCAGCAACTTTGAGCGGGTCTGTGCTAACAAAGTTCGGTTTCTTGATGTAACTATTGATAAGTTGCTATAAAAACAGTATTAGATATATTAATCAGTAATGTTATTATTATCAATTTACTTACAGAAATCAAGGGATAATGTTTCGCTCCAAGGTCAAGATCATCATCCATGGAAGAAAAAGAATCCGCTGGTACAGCAGAAGGCATCACGGAATTTTGGCTGGTCACTGCCTTTTTTATTTCAGCATTTTCAGTCATGAGCTGAAGGACCGAGTTCTTCAAAAATTCATTTGTCTTGTTGGACAAATCCAGGCCATTCTTCAAATGAGTTATTGCATCAGTCACTCCTTTTGCATTTTCTTGCAAGGATTGCATCGACACATTGTTGGCTGCCAACAAGGTAAGGACGTGATCCATTGGGGTCACAGCGACTTGAACTTCAGGGGCTGTGTCAACTGCTACTTCTGGAGTTGGTGTATCAATTGGAGCAACAACACCTGCAATTGTGCTATTAAGAACAGCATTCATGCGTAGGTTGGGTCGGCGGGGAGCAGTAGGAATACGCTTTGTCATTTTCTGTTAATAAAATAAATATTAATAATTTTCAACTAATATTATACAATTCACTACACTTGTTATATCATATTTAAAATTCACATACTAGTAAAGAGGATAAGCGGTGCAGATTAACTCTCTACCTTTCATTTGATATTTAAGCACATCTCCCAACCGCTTGATCCACATTTAGACAACTTCTTTTCTAACTCAATGAGGCACAAAGTAGTATTTCAAGATGACGGTGGTCATCTTCTTTTGGAGTATTACTTTTTACAGCCCGCATTTTGTCAGGGTCAAACTGGATTTTAAGACAAGTCTTTTTTTTTTCCTTTTTTTTCTTTTAATAACATTTATTATTGATATTTTCTTTGTTTCTCTTTTGCTTATGTTTTTACAATTTCACTTATAATTTTTTCTTTCTTTTATAGCTCAATACCAAATATGTGTCTCTTTGTTTGGCTATACTCTGTCTGATATATCAAGGTAAGATATCATTATCTTACAGATCTTTGTTACTCATCATATTGTTTGTCTAGCCATTGCTACTCATTTCCATTGAGTCTCATCATCTCTTAATCGAACATGATGGTAAGTTTTTTTCTTAAAAAAAATTCAAATTATTCTTTCGTCGTACTCATAGATATATATTTATTTTTATTATGATTTATTAGTTATGTCTAATATTATGCACGAAGACGTATAATCAGTAATATTTGGTAAGTTAACTACAATATATTTAATAAATACGCCTTTACTACATACAATATTAATAATTATTCATTTTTAGAATGTATCTCTATTCAAAGACTACTGGTATTGTCTTGATAATTCTGAAGAACATGTTTATATCAATTGTATGTCAGGTCTTCTCCGCCTTGTAAGTATTTATAAAGAAATTTCAATTTAAATCATTTACTAATTCTTCTTTTCTATTAATCATTTTTTAATAGCATTTCCGCTATTAAAGTATGTATTCCATGTCTACTCCCGGAAGGCTTTAAATTATATATAGCGAGCAAGAAGTATTAGCGATTATAATAGCTATAGTATCAAAACTGTCGCGAAATTAGGATTTTTATCTAGAAAAGATTTTCCTATCAAATAAAACAAAATTGAACAAAAAATGTATAACCCAATGTTTTTCCAAAAAATAAATAAATAAAAGTAAAATAAATAAACAAACCAAAGAGACTTGTTTATAAAAATCTACCCATGCTTTGTTTCTCTTTTCCATTGTAAAAAAACCTAGTTTCATTGCTTTTGTGTTTAAAAAACCTAGTTTCATCACTTTGAGCACGTATAAAAAACCAACTATCATCATTTCTTTATATTGTAAAAAACCTACAATCATCTCTTTGATAGTTTTTAAAGCATTTCTGCAGCCAATAAAAAAACCCGGTAAAAATAATAATATGGGACGCTAGCTCTTTATAGACCTCAAAATATAACACATAAAGAGGTAGACTCGATAGAAGTAAAGCGTAACTACAATATTTATTCAGTTTCCATAGTTTGCGGACTGACAATCGTTCTACATTGGGTTTTCATGTACCCGTTGTTATAATGATATGCATCAGCACCATAGATGATATCGTACCATTGCTCAAAATGATATATCACAAAAATTGTGATGATATTGGCTCAATCATCTACATTTTTGGTACATTTGATCCAGATGAAATTACCCTATTTTTCCAGTGGCACCTGTTGTCATCTCCAACCATGAGCCTACCCGTGAAGAATCTAATGCAGTTTATGTGAGTAACATATTATAAAATATTTTATCAATTCATTTTCTCAGGATTTATTTATCAGGCTCATATTCACAACCTTATGTGGAAACCCAAGCTTAGCTTGAGAACGCCAGAAAATATCCTGGCCAACAACCTCAAGCCCAGATGGGATACAAATGTTGCTTTCAACAAATCTCCCAACAGGGAGATAGCCGAGAGACTTCTTTCTAACCTTGAGCGCAGGTTTGGTTCCTCTAGTATGAGATGGAGTGACCTCCAAAAGAGGTTGCACACCAACTTCACTAGTAGAACCCGTCGTGAGAGAATGTCTGATGATGAGATAGCGGAAACAAACGCTCTTACACGAAGAGCAGCCCGTGCAGATGATGTGAGTATTATGCTAATATATATAGTTTATAGTTGAAAATTAAAAATAAAAAGAACAAATTAATAAAACTTATTACTAGAATGAGTGTCGCCGTGTACTGGCCTACAAAGACAATAAGAAGGCAATTGATCTTGTAATGCTCAGAGACTGTGCCAACACTCTCCAAAAAGCAGTAATGTCAGATGGAGAGTCTGCCGATGAAATGGACGAGGATGGCATAAAACATGTCATTCATATTGTACAACCAGGCTGGAGAAGCGATGAGGTAGATTAATTTGGAGTAATACATTTGTATTGGTGTATTATTATATTGAGTGAATTATTAACAAATGTATTTCAGTGCAACCGTTTCATTGCACTTGTTGACACTTATGCTGTCCAGGCCATGGGGTCAAGTGCTAATCAAAGGATCCGTAGGATCACTACTAGTGTGTCCAACTCAGCAGTCCCGGATAACATTAGCCCCAATTTTCCTCGGTGGGCTCTTAGAGACGGGCTCTAAATAAAAAAAAATGTTTCTCTCTTTTTATCTACGTATTACTTTTTACATACACAATACTATCAATATATATAGGGAATTTGTTCTGTTTTTTTTGTATAAGAAAAGGAAATTCAAGTGGGGGTTTTTTTTTATTTTAAGCATAAAGCTTTTTTGGCAAAGCAATTACTAACATCTTACTAACATTTCTACTTGTAGTAATCCTGGCTGTAGCAATCTCTAAAAAGATGCGGTGCACAGATACAATGCAATGGCGACTATCGGGGGAGAAGGTGGGGAGACAAAACTCAAGACCGTCATCCTCACGCGATCTATCAGAGGAAGTATTAAACCACTTGATATATGCGAATACATGTCGATGATCATGAACCATGCGAGTCAGGTGGAGATTGCTGTTAGAAGGGTGTGTAAAGGAGTGTGTGAAGAGATACTGTACTTGTCCAGCATAGGCTAGGGTATTTCTACCGTCACTACCAACAAACATTACGTGGACAAGAGAACCACAACTAGCTGAACCGTTTTTACCACGGTACTGTTGACCAAGTAAGTCAATGAACTTCAACTTTGTGATTTCATTGTCAACAAAGGAGTTTGTGAGCGTGGCATATTGGTAACTGACAAGGTCGGGAAGATCATAGGATGTTTTGTAGTGCTGAAGCAGATGGGCATAGTCGGTTTCATCCATCAGTGATGATTTTTTTAGCTGAAGAGGAAAAGTCGAAGGAGGGAGAGGTTCGTTACCCTTTGGAGGAAGATGTGGGTTGGACGATGCTAGTAAGAATGATTGCAATCGGAATGGATGGGAGGAGAGAGTAATGACTGTGGTGGTAGGTGTGAATTTCGGAGAAAGCTTTGAGAGAATGTTGAAAAAGGGGACGTGGCTAGAACTTTTCAGAACAGCATTGGCATAGTCACCCTTGAATGCGTTTTGAACAAAACTTCTCATATATGTTGCCTCAAAACTATCTTTTCCGTTTGTCTTTATATGCTTTAACAGGCCATTGTATCTCTCAAACCCAAAGAGCCAGTAACCGTACACGGGTCCAAAATCACGAATGGTCTCGCAAAGGTGGAGGTGCAGGTGCATGTTGCAGGTGAGGATGGTGGGAGTGTAGAGTTCGGTAGCCTTTTTGCAAAACATTTCCAGATAGTCGTGGGCGCTGTTCACTTCATCAAATGTGATGCTTGGCTTGATAAGATAGCGGCATGCACGGACGAAATTCATCCAGTTGTTATACATTTCAAATGGTAGAACACCATGCAGCAGAACAGGAGAATACACCAGTACCCAGGATTTCCAGTCGTCGGCTTTCATGTAAGGAAAGCCTTTTCCAATCTTTGATGTCAGCTTTGTATAATCCCTCGGAAGGACCATTGTCTCTGCGATTTTTTCCATGGCAGCAAACTCTTCGGCTCCAATCGTTTTCTTATCGACCCACCGGTCCATCATTCTCTTGGGCGTCCCCAGGAATAAATTATGCATGGGATCAATGATCGTTCCACGTACTAGATCAAAGTATCCAAGGCGTTGCAACTGCGACCATCAAACACCATATTCGACCTCCAGCTGGTGCCTTTCTGAGGGTGTACTCGCACTCTTCCACTCCTCAGCATGCAACCTGTTCTCTACACCGCTACGAATATTCCAAAGCGAATAATCGAATCCACTGAAGTCCACCTGATTTGTGTTGGGCAATCTGGGGAACTGGGTTGTACACTTGTAACACGCACATGTACTATTGTGGGCTGTAAATCCACTTGTTTTCCTGGCAGCAGGGATGTCACACGCAATCATCAGCAAGGCAGCACGGACATTAGCACCAGAAGGGCACTCGTAGGTTGGGACTCGCATTCCAACATACAACTGCTTCATCTCGTCTACCATGGGCTTGAGATAGTTATTTATCTCCTCGCATCTTGGCTCCTTGGGACCAGGCATCAAACCAACCAGAATTGTGTTCTCAGGCTTGAACCGTACCTCTCGAGGCAGATTATTTACAACCAAGTAAATTGCACCAGAAGAGTAACTAACTCCATCGAATGGCTGGAACCAGTCTATGTTGAGTGTCAACATCAATGAGCGAGGACAAGCAACAAACGAGACACCACTTGCATCCTTCAGCTCTTTCCACATTGCTCCATCATATACGTCGCACATAGTATCGACAATCTTAAGCTCCGTGTTCCAGTGACGGATTTGCTCTTCAAAACCAGGCCGAGGGAAAAGAACAGACAAAGCTTGCTTGAGAGACTGGTACAAGTATGCTCGCTTTGATACCAGTGCACCTGAAGTTGACTCTTTCATCAACTTACAACCACAAGGAGAGCGTGCACCAACATTTGTGAAAACACAATGGGGAGGTACGGACATGTTTTCTTCATAGATGCAATGGCAGTTTGGACATGACACAAATCGCTTGATGCCTTTGGTGATAGACAAAAAGCCAGTCATTTTATGTAGCCCAGCCAGACTTTCGGGAAGTTGGAAATCTTGTCCATAAATCTTCAAGAGCTCGTTGATGAACTCAATTAAGACAACAGAACCCTTATTGACCACGTAACGAGATGCAAACAGTACTGTAAAAGTAGCAATAAATCTGTGCACTGGATTCTCGGGCATACCAGAAGCAGCAAAAGGGTCTTTTTTTTTAAAAAAAAATTAACACACATTTTTTTTTAGTTTTTTTTATGTATTTAAAACTGACCCTCATTGTTAAACTCTTCAACATAAATCTCGGCAGTGTCTTCTTCGCCATTGTCATCACTGTCATTGTCATCGGTCGTGTCAGACTCATCACCATTGTAGTCATTACCAACAAAGACGTCATTGTCAAACGTTGAGACGGCATCCGAAATAGGTGAGTTGGCCTGACCGTCCATTGCTTCCACAGAATCGGATTGATACGTCGGGATTACTACAAATATGGAATATAATAGTTTATTATTAGTTTTTCTTCTGCGTTTCATATAAAAAATGTCTTACTTTCAGTATCTACTTCCATGCTTCTCTTTTCAGCTATGTTTTTTAAAATAATAAAAAATAAAAATAAAAGCGATTATTACTCGGTAGACAGATAACAGCACTGAATAAATTATACAACTCTTGAATATCTCAGTACCTTCAAATCTAGCTCTTTTATTATGACGCTGAGCAGTACGTCTCGATACTCGGGAAACTCCTTGATCATTATTATTGCATCTGATGCAGTGGCAATCAGTGTTGTGCATTTGAATGGAAGGAAACATAGTGTATGTATTTTGAATTATAAAATAAAAAAGGAAACAAGAGTGCTACAAATATTTCATTTGATACGGTTTTATAGTAAACCAAAACGTATTTTTTATTTTATTTTTATTTTATTTTTATTTAAGCCAATAGAATACATCAAAACTACACCCCCAACTTGATGAAAAAAAACTGCTGAGATGAAAAAAAATCCTGACATATCCACTATGATCCGACTACCTGGACAATATGTTAATTGTCCTTATTTTTCCAGTGGCAATAGATGAGACAGCCAAATATCAAAATGCCAGGTACATTGAACCATGTGAAGCTGCATATTGTATGTTTTTCATGCCAATCTACTTCCACTCACCAATGGTATTGAGACTAAGTCTACATTTGAGTAGCAAGCAACTAGTAACTTTCTGTGATGACATGACATCTCAAGAACTTCAACTTGCAAGACAGGCACTTTCTAAACAAAAAATGTCATTAGCTTTCTTTAATTTATGTTATAATGATATAAATACACAAAGCTATACATATTCATATGTGTCAAAGTACTATATGTAGAGTGTTAAGAGTAAATCATAGAATAATAGTCCATTAAATATGAAGTTGTTTTGCTTGCAGTTATTGCTACTTAAAATACTAAAATCAATAAGTTTTGCCAATCTCAAAACTGTAAACAATGTCCAGTGTAAGACTTTTTAAGAGACAGCTCTTGGTTTTGATCTGTTGGTTAATGACAGAGAATGGGATCTGTGTCTTACAGAAGCTGGCAAAATGACATCTTCCACAGCAGCAGTAAGAGCACTGTTTTCATGTATTCTTGCCAATTGTTTTTCTGCAGATCCAGCAGCCTCTAGAAAAAACACAAAGATAGAATGTCTGATGATTACTTTTTTGAAATTCAATATAGTCTCCTTCACATTGATGAGTCACTTACTGAAGAAAAACATCAAATGCTATTTCAGAGAGCTTTTAGTGATGTTCAAGCACAATTACAAGTGACAACATATAATATCTCAGATTTCTCTACTCTTTCCCAAACATTTATTACAGAGCTAAAACTCTCCCAAGTTTACAAGCTCTTCAGATAGTTGAGCTAAAAAGCTACAATTCAGAAGAAGAACAAGTAAAGTTGAATACTATGATATTTATTCTTAACACAAGACAGAGAGAAGCATATGACCAGATCATAGAATATCTGAACATGTCTGATAATGAGAATTGATCAAGACTTTTCTTTGTTAACAATTCTGATAGTACTGGAAAATCTTTGCTCTTTAAGATATTACTTAGTTATGTCAGATCTCAAAGTAAAATCGCTCTCCCTGTAGTAAGTTCTGGAATATTGGCACTTATTTTATCTGATAGAAGCACTGCGCATAGCAGATTTAAAATTCTATTGAATGCAGATATAAACTCAACTTGCAATATTTTATTTGAAACATCACAATCTAATCTACTTTAACATACATCATTATTTCTTTGGGATGAGACTGTTATATATAGCAAATACAACTTCGAAGCTGTTAGCATATGTGTTAAGAATATTTTAGGTGTTGTTGATGCAGAAAAGAAGAACATTCTTTTTGAAGACAAAGACTTTGTTTTTGGAGAGAATTTCCATCCAATATTATCTGTTGTAAAGCAAGAAATTTGGTTTCAGATTGTTAATGAATGTCTTCACAAATCTTCATTCCAGAACCATATAAAAGTTTGAGATTGATTTTAAATATGAGACTTAGTCAGCTTGGACTTTGGCAGCAGAGTTTTTAGAAAAGCTTTTAGATATTGGTGATAGAACAGAAGAGAATGAATATTAGTTCTATATTCCAGCTGATTGGAAAATAAAATATGAAGCCTATAAAGATTTGATACAAAAAGTATATCCCAACATAGCATTCCAAATCTCAGATTCATACAACTTCAGCTATAGTACAATCTTTGCCCCAACCAACAAAATAACTGATCAAATCACTACAGTTGCACTTGGTCTTTTCCCAGAAAAAGTACAGAGTTTTGATTTCTTAGACACTGTAGTAGATTCTGATAATCCAGATGGTGACAATGCCAAATAATCTATAGAATTTCTTAATTCAATTATCTGCAGTTGAACACCAGCATATAAACTCATGTTGAAAGTTGGCATATCTCTCTTGATATTGCAAAATATACATTCTGAAGCTAGACTTTATAATGAGACAAATATAAATGTGACCCAGCTCATACAGTATGTCATAGGTGTCAAAAGATTTGACAAAGGTCATGATAGTCTACAGCATCTGATACCAGAATTAAACATGACAACAAATGAAAGAGAATTTTCATTTTGTCTTTCTTCCCACAGATTTCCTATTTGTTCAGCCTTTGCTATGACTATTAAAAAGCTCAAAGACAAACTCTTAATCATATTGAAATACATTTTGATACATCTGTACTACCTCAGGAACAGTTATACAGTGCTGTAGGTTGGTAAAGTGCACACTTTGAATTCACAACTTTTTTTAATAGAAAAATGTCTATCCCTCGTTTTGTTTTCTCTTTCACACCCTTTCTTTCTCATTTAATTTTATCTATGTCTTCCAAAAACATTTCTGAAGCTTGTATGATTGAAAGAGAAATTTTAAGCAAAAAGAATGTCGTAATTATTACATCTTTTAAATTTGGAGAAAAAGTACTAGTCATCTATGAGATGCATGGAGTATCATAACAAACTGTCTATAATTTATTTAAAAATATGATAAAAGAGGAACTGCAGCTATATCAAAGCAAAAGAGATCTTTCAAGATATTCACTGAAAGAGATCTGCATGTTTTGCATTGCAAAATAGTGAAAGACAGGTCAGCCAATCTGAACACCTTAATTCAGACCATGTCAATCATCTTGCATCAGACTGTTTGCAAGGATATCTTGTATTAAGCTATTAAAAGTCTTAATATGAAGTCGTTTATGACTGTACACAAGTCTTGACTTACTGATAAACATTGAAAAAATCATATAGCATTTGCTTGTCATGTCTAAAAAGTCAACCAGAGCTGAGAATATGTGATTTGAAGTGATGAGTCATTCTTCATATTGTTTTCTATATGCACAAGTATACAAATCTGGCATTTTACATCAGAGAAATACAGATATACCTATATAAAACCAATGATTCAAGACAGAGAAAAATCAGTAATGATTTGGGAATGCGTTTGATCTGGTAGAGTTAGTCTCCTAGAAATCATACATGGCAGCCAGAATTAATGGAGTTATAAGAACATTCTGGAAAAAAGGCTGCTTCCCTTCAAACAACGCCTGGAGCAAGCATATAATTATAGCTTCATTTTCTAGCAAGATAATACCCCTTGTCATAAAACAAAAAAATAGAAGAGTATCAAACAGCTGCCAATTTAGAGGTAATGAAGTGGTCTGCATGCAGTTCTGATCTCACCTCAATTGAGAATGTGTACGGATATCTTGGAAAGCAGGTGAGGGCTAGAAGACCTCAACCAAAAAACCTTACCAGATTGAAGAGGTTTTTACAAGGGAAATGGAAAAAATATCAGTCTCTATATGTGTGACCCATTGCAACTCAATGCCAAAGAGGCTACATGCTCTAAAGAAGAGTAAAAGATTGTATATAAAATATTAAAATATATTTTTAAAACTAATTTCTATAGAACAGAAGACTTTAAGCTTTCTTGTGTATTATTTTGACAGTGTGTTATAAATGTAAAAATGGAAAAACATAGATAGTAGCATTTGTATAAACATTTTCAGTTTTTTGGAACTTAAATCTGTCCACTTTACTAACCTATGGTACTGTATGTTGCTTTATTAAGAGCCACAGATCCAAAACATGTACATGTTATCATCAAAATTGATACTGAATATACAGCTAACATTGTATTTAAAGATATATTACTTTAACTTTTATAAATAGCATATACAACATATATCTTTTAATTTTTACTTTTATACATAAAAATATTAATATCAATTTTTCTTTATAAACATTCATTATTATTATATATTATCTCACTCATGGTAATATAATAAATAATTCCAATAGTTGTGTTTATATAACAATGCTTTGCTATTGAAAAGAGTTAGATAAGTCTTATGATATGGCTATGGGGACCTCCCAAAGGAAGGAGAGAGGAGTATACATTATACAAAAAAGCTATGAGTATTTGAAACAAGCTGCCTTATCTTAGAAAGAAATGGCAGATTTTTGAAGACTATCTAGCACTTACCAAGTTTAAAATATCTATATTCTGTTTTGGCTCTAGAGAAATATTTTAAAGATAAAAGTCTTGTCGTCCATCCAGGAAACCATCTTGATTTCCGAATAAAGAGAACTACTTGCTTTATTAAAGAAAAATCAACTGGAAAGTCAAACAAGCTCTATGAACTTTATATCTTGGATCTGAGCTTATACCAGAAACAGTCATACCTACTGATATTTTTGTTTAATGCGAACTTGTTTTTTATTTTGTAAAGTCTTTTCCTTTCTATTTCTTCTCACTATTACTATTGTTGACAAGTCTTTGAGGATTTACAAAGTACTAACCAATAACTTATAGCTTTTGGGCAATAACAATATTAAGCAAGAGATCTATAACAAAACCCTATAACACAAAATTTTTTATCAAAGTCTTACAAGATAAGCACACATACATATATTTTATAGATAGAATGATATATAGCTATAGCTCTGGTAATGTTAAACAAAACTCCCTTTTTTATTTCTGGCCAAAGCAATATCTAGTAGCTTATAAAGATCTTGATCTTACAATTTAAGACTTTTATTATATTTTATTTAATTTAAAATTAGCATAGTCTTTTTCTTTACATACTTATTCTATCATTCATCTACTATTTTTTAGTACCCTTTGTTAGAGGCAATGCCATAGATATGAGAACGCTAAAGAAGAGTCTTATTTTATTACTTTTACTATTAATAAAATCAAAAAATAAAAATATTTTGCTATAAAACATTGAGTTTGTTGAACCAATTATAAGAAAATTTGAAGTACCTAAAACAGTATAAATCTACCATATTTGAAGCAGTTGATTGAATTAGATGCAGAAACAATCTAAAATTCCACAAATCGCATTTTCTGGAGAATTTACAAGCACATATATTTGATACAAGCATATAGAAAAGCTAGAAATCCTTTATTTTCTGTACCTTTTGCACATTGAAGTCCGCCCAGACAAGATAATGTGACTGGCTTTCCTTCTTTTTTTTTGGCTCTAAGAATAATAATAATTACCCCTTTTTCTCTATTATAATACACTACTGAAACACCACCAATGTCTAAAGTAACACTTACAAGAAAAGAACAACAAGCCTTGAGAAAGGCAGCACTTGAAGCAGCACCTGTCAGAACCCTGAGAGATATTGGATCTCCATTGGAACCTTTGACAATTCCTAATGTTATAAAGTTGAAGTCTAACATTGTTCGTGTTTTTGCTTCTGAATGGGAACTTTACAAATAAAAAATTGAAGAACAATGCTGCGTCAAGTGGATTATCAGTCGTCCTAATAGACATAGTTCTACTGTTGATATCACCAAGAAGAAGCATGTGCTCTTCTCCCAGGTATACTCCTGTCATAGAGGTGGAAACTATGAATCTGAAAGCAGAGAAAAGCATCCAATTCAATGTAAATCAAAGAAAGTTGGCTGTGAGGCAACTCTCACTATTACTTGTTATGCTGACAAGTCTCATGTTTATGTGTTTGATTTTATTGCCAACCACACCAACTATATTCCTGGGGATATTAAAACCGATCTTGGACTTATTCCTTTAACTCAAGGTCATGTTGATGATATTGTTGCCCGTTTGACAGCCAGTCCAGGCTCATCAGCTAGAAAAATCAGACTTGAGATTCTTCGCAACATCGACCAACAAGAGTATTCTCTCAATGGATGTAAAATCAACTACTTTGATATTTACAACAAAATATTTGCAGTAAGTTTTACATTGCAATTATTCTTTAATTTCTGAATATTAACAGTTGTTTTGATGTATCTGAACTTTAGATCAACCGAACAATCTTTTGTTTACACGAGGACAACTTTAAGTCTATGAAGATGTGGTTTACCAAAAAACTTTCTCCCAAAGGTTTTATTATCTTTGAAGGTAACCTGCAGACATATTCGAATGATGAGAGCCTGTATCCATGTGGATTTATCTCGCCTTTCCAGTAAAGCAAGATAAAAGCTGCAGCAACATTCTGTATGGATGCCACCTACAGTATCACTCAAAGATCAGATGACATTCTTTATACTATTGTCATTTGTGATGAAGAACTTGATTGTGGTTTCCCCTGTGCATACATGCTGACCAATGACTATTCCTTGGGTCCAATTGTCCAATGGTTGAAGCACTTGAAAGACAATCAGTTGGTTGTAAACCCCCAGTAGTTCACTATTGACTGTAGTGATGCTGAGACAAATGCACTCATGGCAATCTTCCCTGGATGCCAAATCCAATACTGTCTTTTTCACGTCAGTCAAGCATGGTACAGACAACTAAACCTGAAAGTCAAGACAGGAAATACTGCTGCCCAAAACCGTTTGGTTCGAGGAAAAATGATGGCTTTTCTTAAGCATATCATATATGAAGAGCATATAGTTGTATTTCTTGACAAGATTGCCGACTTCATTGGAAGTGTTGTGGTGGTTGAAGTTGAAGAAGTTTTTAAGAGGAAGAATTGAAGATTTGAGATTAGGAACGAAGATTCGTGAGAACTTGTGTAGGTTTTGTTTATTGAGAAAGGATTTTGTATCAAAGTTTGACCAGGTTCCTACACTGAACTACTACTGCTATTTATATTCTTTTGGATTGGGAAAATTATATGACTGGGGTCAGGTAATCGATTCTATCTGAGTCTTAATCAGAGCAACGTGATCTTAGGATAATTAATGTATGATTAATTATATAAATGTGTGTAGTCCCAATGAAGTATTAACATTGAAAGTAAATGTGTTTATGAGTTATAATTATGCCTATGATAATCCACTGATATATCCCATATTATGGTGATATCATCATATGAAATATAATTACTATCATGCATGCTAAACCTGTGTGTTAAATAATAAAGTAATTGGTAGACATCTTTGACTGGAATAGCTGAGGCCTTGTATTATTTCCTTCAGACTTATTCACAATTACAGCAGTAGTCAATACTCATTTACAACAGGAAGATATCAGCAAAGACAACCTGATTTTGTCCGATACTTTGAGACCAACTGGTGTACCATGGCTAAGTATTGTGTTTGGAGTAGAGCTTTCCATCAGCTTGAATTCTCTCACATGCTAACAAACAACTACATCGAGTCTTGGCACAACCAGCTAAAAACGTATTTTTTAGGCCGCAGTCACAACAAAAGATTTGATCAACTGATTTTCATACTGCCAAACAAAGTAGAGTTCTACTTCAAAGAGGAGAGTATCAGAATCAAAATGCGCAGTGGCCCAATGACAGCTGCCCAAAGACAACAAAGGAAGATAGAGATGTCTGCTGAAGCTGTTCCAGCATACATGCATGCTAATATGATTGTCAGCCTGTCAATAGCAATGTCTCTGAACACCACTCTTGATGACACTGATGATATTCTTGAAGATGAGTTTTGGTTCATCAACTCGTTTACCAAAGATGGTATTACCTATCAAGTTGAAGTTAACAATAATGTTATTCTTTCTTGTACGTGTTATTCTTGGACTAGGTACATGAAGCCTTGTAAGCATATGTATTTGCTCTGTATCCATATGTCAGGCTTTGCTTTCTTGTCTGTGGCTTCTGCAAATAATATGCTGCCAATCACAATTTCTGGTGAGCAGTTTGTTAATGACAACACTATGTCAATTGATGGCACAAGGGAGAGCACTGGGCATGGGTATGCCATAGAGGCATTTGAGTATGCAAAGAATTGTTCATTAACAACTAGACATAATGAGCAAGACTTGTATCAACTGATGCAGTATGCTACAGAAGAGGAAGCTGAGGTTATCAGAGCAGCATATGCTGCTCCCATAAAGGCTTTTCAAGAAATCAAAGCTAAATATGAAGCTCATTTTAGAACTTTAAATACATAACGTCATTAATAAAAAAATCTTCTGCTTTATTTACAATTGTTCTCACAATATATAACTATTCCTATTACCTTCTTAACATTGTATATTTGGAAATAAATGTAACTATAAATTTAAGCTGTATTCTCAGCTATCTTAATATGTCATTCTTTTGGTTCTATATCTCTGCGGTTTTTTTAAGAAAATGCAATGGTAACATGTGGCTTAATTCTGAAATTCAAATTCTGGTTGTCCAGTGTGCAAAAGGTGTAGAAAATAAAAAGATTTAAAAAGCTACAAGCTCAGAGTTATAAGCTCTTCATATTTGAGTAGTTCTATTGGCTAACAAATCTTCCCCGACATATCTACAACCACATATATTTGATACGTGCGCATATAAAAGCTATGAGTATGGAGTTATAAATGCTGTTATTTACCACAGTGATAGCTCTCAAGCCTTTCTAATATGACAATGTTATTAAATAAATTCAAACAATTTTTTTATTTATCCCTTTATGAACTTCTTTGTCTATGAATATATTATATAAATAGTCTCACACACTGCATGAAAAACATCAGCCTTGACAAGGTCTGTCCCATTTTTTTTTTTATTATTGGCTTGGTTGCCCATACCAGTATTATCACATCTCAAGCAGTGCCGAAATTACACAATTATGAAACAAAACCCAAACAAAACCGCATCTAAAACACTTTAAATAAAAATAAATGTTGTGCGTAATTACTTATTTGTACCATACGTGCGCACGCAAAATAAAGTTTAATTTTGTAAATTTAACGTGTGTGTAAAATACCCATGCCTACGCACAAGCAAACTTTAAGTAAATTTAGCAATGTTTGGTGATTGGCTTTTAATCAGAAAGATAGAGTTATTCGATTTGCCCCATTATACATTTTAAAGCTATTACAGATTTTAAGAATAATTTTCTATGTTTATGGTAAGGGTTAACAAAGAAAGTATTTTTGTTGTAATTACTTGTATATATATTAGAGCATCTCCAGCAGTTACATTTAAACTCTGTTTAATACAAAATACATATAATTTGGCAAATATTATTAGAAGAACACTTCTGAATATACTAGTGCTGAATTAATTCTGTAATAGTGTATATATAGAGTATTTTTCATCTCAGCACTACTGTTTGTGTTCAAATAAAAAATCTACTCATACTATATTCTATTGGCTTGAATATAATAAGCAACAAAAGTTATTTTTTTATAACTATAAAGTTTTTGTGAATAGAGAAATATAACATCTGTTTTTTTTTATTTTATTATTAAACAAACACAAATGTTATGTCTTCTACTATCAAATAAAACTTTGAAGAGTGCTATTGCACTGAGTGCATTAAAAACTATAATCAATATACCGTAGTATTAAAGAAAACTGCTTATAATTATAGTAAGAAAGCAGCTTTAAAAGATGCTATCAAAAGTAAACTTGATATGTTATTTACAATATAAAATTTGTTTTTTTTTATATACTAATAGCTTTTAAATTAAACGAGGGAGCTGTGCCCCCCCTTTTTGGGGGGTCCCCCCTCCCCCCTCCCTGGCGGGGGGGCCCCATAGCCCTACCATAAGTCTTATGTAACTCTTCCCTATGGCAAAGCATTGTAGTATAAACACAACTATTGGGATTATTTATTATATTACTGTCAATGAGAATATATATAATAATAATGGATGTTTATAAAAAATTTATTGGTATTGATATTTATATATGTAAAAGTAAAAATTAAAAGATAGATGTTGCATATGCTATTAATAAAAGTTAAAGTAATGCATCTTCAAATACAATGTTAGCTGTATATTCAGTATTATTTTTGATGGCAACATGTGCATTCCTTGGGTCTGTGTCTCTTAAAAAAACAACAAATAACTGTCTATGAGAGAACACAGGGGTATCAAGATATACTTCAACATGATTAAGAGTTTGTCCTTGAGCTGTGTTAATAGTTATAGCAAAGCCTGGACAAACAGGAAATTGGCAGCAAGAAAGGCAAAATGGAAATTCTGTCTCATTTGTTGCCATGTTGAATCTTGTTATCAGGTGCTGTGGACTATCATTACCTTGGTCAAGTCTTTTGACAGCTATGACATACTGTGTGAACTAGGTTACAAACACTTTTGTCGCATTGCAGAGTCCAGCTTCAGGATCTATATTTTGCAAAATGAAGAGAGACATGTCAACTTTCATCATGAGTGTGTATACTGATATTCTACTGCAGGTAATTGAATTAAGAAATTCCGTAGGGTATCTGGCGTTGTCAGCCTCTGGGTCATCTGAATCGACTACAGCATCTAAGCAATCAAAACTCTGTACTTCTCCTGGGAAAAGACCAAGTGCGCCTGTATTGATTTGATCAATTATTTTGTTGGTTGGGGCAAGGATTGCACTATGGCTGAAGTTGGATGGATCTGAGATTTGGGATGCTATGTTGGGATACACTTTTTATATCAAATCTTTATTGTCTTCAGGTTTTACTTGCCAATCAACTGGGATATAGAACTGATGTTTATTATCTCCTGTTCCATCACTAATATCCAAAAGCTTTTTTGAAAAATCTGCTGTCAAAGGTCCAAGCTGACTAAGTCTCATGTTTTGGATCAATCTCAAAACTTTTATATGATTCCAGAATGAAGATTTGTGACGACATTCATCAATATTCTGAGACCAGGTTCTTTGCTTTACAACAGATAGTATTTGATGGAAATATTTACCAAAAACAAAGACTTTGCCTCCAAAGGGAATATTCTGCTTTTCTGCATCAACAGCACCCATAATATTCTTAAGATATCTGCTAACAGCTTCAAAGTTATACTTGCTACGCATAACAGCCTTGTCTCAAAGAAAAAATGATGTATGTTGAAGTAGATTGGATTGTGATGTTCTAAGTGAAATATTGCAAGTTGAATTTATATCTGTGTTCAATGGAATTTTAATTCTGCTATGCACAGCTCTTCTACCAGATAAAAGAAGTGCCAATATTCCAGAACTTACTACAGGGAGAGCGATTTTACTTTGAGATCTGATATAACTAAGCAATATCTTAAGGAGCAAAGATTTTCCAGTACTATTAGAATTGTTAACAAAGAAAAGTCTTGATCAATTTTCATTATCAGACATGTTCAGATATTCTATGATCTGGTCATATGCTTCCCTCTGTCTTTTGTTAAGAATAAATATCATAGTATCCAACTTTACTTGTTTTTCTTCTGAATTGTAGCTTTTTAGCTCAACTATCTGAAGAGCTTGTAAACTCGAGAGAGTTTTAGCTCTGTAATAAATGTTTGGGAAAGAGTAGAGAAATCTGAGATATTATATATTGTCACTTGTAATTGTGCTTGAACATCACTAAAAGCTCTCTGAAATAGCATTTGATGTTTTTCTTCAGTAAGTGACTCATCAATGTGAAGGAGGCTACATTGAATTTCAAAAAAGTAATCATTAGACATCCTATCTTTGTGTTTTTTCTAGAGGCTGCTGGATCTGCAGAAAAACAATTGACAAGAATATATGAAAACAGTGCTCTTACTGCTGCTGTGGAAGATGTCATTTGGCCAGCTTCTGTGAGACACAGATCCCATTCTCTGTCATTAACCAACAGACCAAGAGCAAGAGCTGCCTCCTGGAAAGTCTCACACTGGACATCATTTACAGTCTTGAAATTATCAAAACTTGTTGGTCCTGGTACTTTAAGTAGCAATAGTTGCAAGCAAAACAACTCCATATTTGATGGACTGGCAGTATAGATGCAAGAGACAACATCTTTATACTCTGGCTGTTTTCTGGCATTTCAATGATTTGCTCTTGGCACTCCATGTATAGTAATTAGGCACCTGAGAGTATGTGTGACTTCGTGTGTTTATATTATTACGACACAGATTAAAGAAAGCCAGTAGCATTGTTTCTTCAGAAAATGCCTCTCTTGCAAGTTGAAGTTCCTGAGGTGTCATGTCATTATGGAAAGTTACCAGCTGCTTGCCAGGCCAATGTAGACTTAGTCTCATTACCATTGGCAAGTGGAAGTGGATTGGCATGGAAAACATGCAATATGAAGCTTCACATGGTCCAATGTACCTGGCATTTTGATATTTGGCTATCTCATCTATTGCCCTTGTTGATATTTGTGCGTTTGTTGTATTTTCTGTATTTTCATTTCTGATTCCAAGCTGAGCTCTATCAGAGCCTTTTGTAATGTATTTACAGAGATACTTTATTTCACAGCTAGTTGAGCAAATCTCAACATTAATATGAGTAGCATATTTGAGAGACAGGTACGGGTTGTAAGGCACTGCACATGCATTTGTTACTATGAATCTGCCACCATTGAGGGCATTGAATTGGTCATTGTTTCATCTGCGCTACATGGAATAGCCACTTTTGCTCACATGCATCTCATTTACAAATTCTTTTGGATAACTCTTACTACATTTAAAATCTGTTGTACAGACTGCATTCAGGTTCTTTCTTCCACATGGACCATGTATCATTGAATTTACAACAATATTATACAGCTGAAGATTTACTTGAAGATTGGATAATTCAGCACAGACAAAGCTATCAAAATCTTTAGGTGCTTGTAGATGCTACTTCTCTTCAAAAATAAACAGCATGTGTGCGTATGGCAGGTCTCTCTTTTGGAATTCAATTGTTACAATATAGGAAGATACTTCACTAAAGCATTTGCTGTCTTTTATATGCTTGTTGAACTCTTTGATTTTCATATTAAACACATGAATACAAAGGTATGGACGATCTTGTGCTTTTTGATTATTGAGCACTGGAACAATTTTTGGCCACCTTGGATTGCATGTAAATATTATAAAAAGAGTTGATACTCCACGGGTGCGAATCAAAGCCAATCCATCTTACAGAATCTGTTTCATATATTGTGGGCCGCCAGTAAAAGATGATGGGAGGATTGTTGCTTTTCCAATTTGGCATGGGTCTTCTGCATTGTCTGATATTCCTTTGTAAAACTCCATTCAAAGGTTATCTTAAGTCTAAGGTACAAAAGGTGACTTGTCTCAATTCGAACATAACTATCTACCAAGTATCACTGAAATAATCTGCCATAGTGGTGAAGATAAGTCTCATTACAAATTATCATAAGATAAGAGCAGCACTCTCGAAGTGTGACATGGACTGTTTGGCAGTTCTGGCGGTTCTGGCAAATTAAAGCAGTGTTTATAGGAGTATATGTTAAGTTTTCATGCCAGCCATTATCACCAAATGGGAACATGAGCACATAGTGTAAAGCAGCATACAAAGGATGCATTGAGCTAATTGATCAGTGTCCTGTAATACAATCAATTATAACAATATCATGGGGTACTGCAGTTCTATCAACACTTTTCTCAATTATCATTGCTGCAACTTCTGAAGAACTTTGGATGTCATAATGACGGTGTATATCTCTAGCTGCTCTAATAATCACTGGAAGAGATCCAAAAGGTTTATTGCGGGATTGCTCAGCTACTGATATAAGTGTGCAAGTGTATAGATTGCAAGTATTTATTATATTCTGAATTCTTTCAATAGTTGCTATATCCAGCTCAGAAAATAGTGTTGATCTTCTGGCAAGTTGCTCATTTGTACAACAGAAATAAATCTGTGAGAACTCAGCAGCTCTTGGATCTAGAGATCAAAGTGCTCCAACATTATGATATATGGTACCATTTACATGGAATGTGGAGACACCGTCTGTCCCACTTGCAAGTCTTTCATCCACGTTTGCCTTAATTGAAGCAAATGCAAATGCACTATTAAAGGCTCTGATATTTTTATAGAAGTTTGTGGCCTGGCAATCTGAACTATCATGATTTGTTACAAAATCTAATAGTTTCTGTAGAGTTGCAATAGGTAAAGGAATGATGGTTTTTCCATTTGAATAACATAGCCCAAACCGGGAACTTTGTTCACTGGTTGCTTTAAGACACTCATCTATTGACATATATGCATTACAAAAGGGGACACCTGCTTTCCATAGGTGGAAAGACATGCTGATGATAATTTGGGCCCTTAATTTGACAGATGTTAGGACCAACTACACTTTCAATAGAAAAAGGAATGGTGTGAGCAATTTTATATTTGAGAATGTTGGAGCATCTTGAGTCCAATTATTTCTTGGAACATAAAATAGGCATTGCATATTTGGTACACAGCAATGAGTGCTTGACCCACATCTTGAACAATTAGCTCTGCTTCTTACTACATCTTCTTGAACAGTTTCTACAGCAGCAGATATGCTGTTAATTTCTATTGGTTGTCAATAACTTAAGTCAATAACCATAATGTTGTTGCAATTGTTAGGACAATTGGGATGAGTAGATTGTCTATGATTAGTTGATCTACAACATGCACAAGAAAACGAATTTTGCTGAGTGTATGGAGCCCTTGTATTGAAAGGACTATCACAATGGAACATTTTATGATGAGTTGTTGATCTACATTGGCAAGCATTGATAGAGATTGTAGAAGGCATTTTATGAGAGTTATCTTTAAAAATGTAATGAATACACAGATGTATAAGAGTATATGTTTGTAAAAAAATGTGGGAAAACTTTAAAGTCAATTGTGTTTTTATTGGTTAAATCACTAATATAATTAATAATTTTATTGTATTTGAATACTAATAACTCATAAGTTGCATAACTTTTAAGAACCAAGGGCTTAAATATAATAAAATAAGTTTTTACATTTTATTTTAGTGAGAAATGACAAGTAAATTAGAGAACATATGACCAATTAGAAGGGCTAAATCACATGATCTCTAATTTCATTCTGTCTTTCTAATGAGATATAAATGTGCAGAGATATGTAATAAATGTTGATTTAGAGTATAAAATATTTCTGTTTATATATGACAAAAAATAGCTTTATTATTATATTCTATATTTATAGCTATTTTACTCTAAGAATTGGAATTTGTAGAAGTTCTTATACATTGGTTTGACTTATCTTTTTTGGATATCTTCTCTATGTCAGTTAGCAATAAGATTAATGTCAATTTCAATGACATGAAATTTGAGTATGAGAGCAATAAGAACGCCAAAGATACTGCTGATATTGATGTTGAAGATTTTGATACTGAATTTTTGTATGAAAGTTATAAAAAATGTAAAGAAAATTAGAAAAAATTAATATTTTTTTATTTTAAAATAGACATGTTTTTAAACAGCAATATGTCTGAGAATCCTGTATACAGATTTGTTGCAACATTCACTGTATTATTTTCATCCTGCTACATTATCAACAAGGATACAGTTGTCTTGATTGAGTTCATAAATTAGCTCTTGAAGATTTATAAGCAGAACTTTCAGTTTCTTACAAGTCTGTCTGGTCTTCAGTATATGATAGAATTCTGTGAGCTCTTCAAGAGCATAAGACAATTTGTGGTCTGCAAGAATTACTATGAAATTTATAAAGAAAATCAATCTATTTTTTCTCACTACATCTTTGCAAAGACAGATACTCATTCAGCTTGTAACTGTAAATTGATAAAGAAGTCATCTTCTGGTTCTTTGGTTTTCAAGCCCAGTTTTCATTACAAGTCTATAAAAAATGCTTTCAAAAATCTCTTTAATAGTTCAGGCTTTGAAGAAAAGATATGTTAATAAAATATAGTGCAAAAATTAGCAGACACAATATGCAATGTGTACAATGATGCCGTTTGGAAAGAACTCAAGAATAGTAATGCTGTTTCATTTGTTGAACAGTCTTGTCTGCTGATACTGATACTGATTCTTAATATTGACTGGTTTCAGCTGTTTGATAAAGTGACATACTCTAGTAGTGCAATCTACTTGACTACTAACAACTTGCCTCACAGTGACCAGTTGAAAGCTGAGAATGTAATTCTTGTAGAACTTATGTCTGGTCTCTCAAAGCCAACAAGATAAATAACTATTTTGAGCTAATGGTAGATGAGTTGATAAAGTTGTATTGTGGAGTAAGAATCCCAACATTTGAGTCTCCTTCTAGTGAAGTAATTTTTGTTGCAATGATGCTAGTTGTCTAAAACATTTCAGCTGCCAGAAAGGCTAGTAGATTTACTGCACACAATAGCACTTGTGCATGCTTTAAGTATAACTGTCATTTTACTTGTGTTGACAGCACAAACAAGATTGATTTCCGTGGGTTTAAATAGTCTGAGTGGTATCATTATAACTGTGAGAAGAATAGACTGCATGCTGAGAAGTAGAAGAATGCAGTTACTATCTCAGAAAGATAGCATCTGGAAATCGAAAATGTTGTTCAATGACTGCAGTTGCACCACCTTAGATACTTTAATATAATATGTGGAACAGTCATTGATTCCATTCACAATCTGTTTTTAGAGACAGAAAAAAGAATGATGAACCAGTGAATTGAATATAGTATTCTTAGAGACAGAGATTTCACTGCCATGCAAAAAATAGCTAATAAGATGATTGTGTCAAAGAGAGTTATTGCATTAAAACGCACAATTAGAAAAAAATTATGTTTATGAAAGCAGATAAGTGGAAGTTGTAGATATTAATATATTTTCCTGTAGTGTTAAAATCAGTGCTCTCAACCTTGTATTTCAATAACTGGATTAATTTTGTATATTTATGCTGTCACCTAATAAAGCCCAGAATTACATTTGATAATATTAATACTGTCCATAAATATCTTAAACAATTTTGTGTAAAATGCAATGGGATTTACACTCCTATATTTCTTATCTGTAATATGTACTTACAACCTCATCTTTGAGAAACTATTCTTGATTTTAGATCAGTATATAGTTATTGGCTCTTTGTATTTGAGAGATAAAATAATTTACTCAAGAATATTAACACAAATGACAAGGACAGTTTTGAAGCCATGCTTATGAAATGCTTTGTTAAAGATATATTTATAAATGATTTTATTAATTCTGCTCTCACCTGTTCCATACAATATCTCTTTCTTTCTATTCTTTTCAAACTTGTATATTTATTCACATCTGTTCTTATTTTGCCATCTGTCTCCTCTACAATTATTCAGCCCGCATTCATTTTAAAGCATTTGTGAATTCTTCTGAAACTATCAGAATTTCTATCTTAAAGCATCTGCAGCAATAGTATTTAAATTTAGTTTTTCCCAATTTAAGTGCTTTTTGTAAATGCTTTTCAAAAAAATTGTCTGCAGCAGTAGCATTTTCGACAGCATGTATTTATATACTCTATAACTTTTACGACCTTGAGCATGGAAATAGATGCTCATTTTAAAAACTTGTCAAGTATTTAAATCATTTTTCTTTGTTATTTTTTTCTTTAAATCAATTAATAATATATAGCAACACTTACAAAAACTCACAAAAATTATGCTCACTACAAAGCTGATAGTCTTGAGAACATTTAACTTGCTTTTTTTATATTAAGTATCTAATAATAATAAATTTTACTAGTGAAGAAGGCTATACCAGATAGTATAATTATCTAAATGCTTCTTTTTATTATTCTACTGATATTTTACCCTCAATTTTTTTACTGATTTAAATCTCAGATGTGGCTTATAAGCATTTAAATTAATGCTAATAGAAATACTACTGCTGCAGATGTTCTTAGACAACAAACTTCTCTCATCTACATCGTTCCCACTTTCAGTTAGTAAACCTTCTTCAATGGATGATATCAATTATTCTCATTTGTTATAATACTACAAACTTGCATACCTCACTCCCATTTTTGTTCATTATTAAAATACTGATACCTATCTATTTTTTATCAGCAATCTGATAATAAAGCTGAAAGCAATCAATATTCGTAACCAACACTGCAAAAATTATATGATTTCATCAGGCAAAAATAAAGCAAATATCATGTTCAAAGCACAAATTCCAATATGATTCTATCATAGATATCCCCTAAAAACTTAGTATATTTGTAACAAGTAGAAAGAAGCCTAGAATTGTAGAGAAAGTCTTATTCAGATGGAAAGCAATACTGTTCCTCAGTTTGCCAATGTTATATGATGCACAGATTCATGTTGTATATTTGAATTATATGAGTATTATATTCTATTTTGAATCTTTATTTAATTTATAAAAAGGAGTGGACATGGATGCTGCTTCAACATATATACTTTCTTACATTTTTCATATAATTATTTGCTGTTTTATAATTGATATATGTGGGAAATTATACTTTAAGACTTATAATCTGTGAGAGAGTATTCTTTTTAATGTGGACATTTATACTTCTTTAACCGACATACTTTTCTCATTTTTTACTGTATATTTAATTCTAGTTTTATAATCAAAATTTGTGGAATAGTATACTTAATGATATATAATATGTGGGATAGCATATATTTTAAAAAAGTTTTTTTGTATTGGTTTGGTTGAAAAATTAGTTTTATTTGTTTATTTTGGATATTTGAAAAAGAATTTTTTTTAAAGAACATGGTGATTTTATATTAGTTATTTATAAAGCTATCAAATCTATCAATGCTTCTAAGCATATGCTGCTAATTGATCCATGGTCTAAGCTGTTATACTAGTGCTTACATAAAGATATAACAAGCTTTTAAAGCCATGTAACAAAAAACAAGAAATATCAAGAGAACAATTTTTAGACAGAAGAAAACGCGCAAGTTAGTATCATTTTGATGTAATTGTTGTATGAATATATCTTAAATAGAACTTACTGATATAAGAGTAATATAATTCTTGCTGTACAAACTATTATTATGAAATCTTATGATTAACATTGCATTTAAGATAAGTATAAAAGCAATTGACACACAAGAGACTTACTAAACACTGTTTTTTATATAATAAAATAGTATAGACTTATTGGATAAACCATGTTAAAGAAATATAATAAATTGCAAGTAATATATATAATAATCCAAAAGAAACAAGCTGGATGAATATAAATTTACAAATTAAGATATAAGCTTGTGTACCTAACCTATGAACTTACTTATTTATTTCTTCAATGAGTTTTAATTTTATGGGGGGTCTGCTATTTTTTCCCTCCACAAGATCGAATTGAACATATATTTGTAGCTTTTACAAATAGAAATTTTGAAGAGTAGCTTTTAATAAAAGATTTTTTTTTAATTATTTCCCCCCCCCCTTTATTTTACAAAAAATACCAACACGCCTACTATGTCCAATGCCATTTTTACTATGGGGGTACTCAGCCATATTGATTGCTCAAATTCTTATGTGAATGTTAGCCAATGATATCAATTTGTAGTTGAGGACACCAAAAGGCAAAAGATCAAATTTTGATCAAATTTTGATCAAAATTTTAATGATATTTATATTTCAAGATTATATGTCATCTAATAAAAGATTATGCAAAAAAAATTGCTATATAATCTAGGAAACATACAATTGACATCTTTCTTCACACCTGCATCTTTATTTTGCTTAACATTTTATTATGAAGAAAAAACATGTCTAACCACTAGAAAAATAAGGACAATTAACATATTGTCCAGGTAGTTGGATCATAGTGGATATGTCAGGATTTTTTTTCATCTCAGCAGTTTTTTTTATCAAGTTGGAGGTGTAGTTTTGATCTATTCTATTGACTTAAATCAAAAATATGTTTTGGTTTACTATAAAACTGTATCAAATTAAATATTTGTAGCACTCTTGTTTCCTTTTTTATTTTATAATTTAAAATACATATACTATGTCTCCTTCTATTCAAATGCACAACACTAATTGCTACTGCACCAGATGCAATAATAATGATCAAGGAGTTTCCCGAGTATTGAGATGTACTGCTCAGCGTCATAATAAAAGAGCTAGATTTGAAGGTACTGAAATATTCAAGAGCTATATAACTTATTCAGTGCTGTTATCTGTCCACCGAGTAATAATTGCTTTTATTTTTATATTTTATTATTTTAAAAAACATAGCTGAAAAGAGAAGCATGGAAGTAGATACTGAAAGTAAAACATTTTTTATTTGAAAAGCAGAAGAAAAACTAATAATAAACTATTATGTTCTATATTTGTAGTAATCCCAATGTATCAATCCGATTCTGTAGAACAATAGATGGTCAGACCAACTCACCTATTTTGGATATCATCTCGACGTTTGACAACGACATCTTTGGTGGTAATAACTACAATGGTGATGAGTCTTACATGACCTATGACAATGACAGTGATAACAATGGCAAAGAAGACACTGCCGAGATTTATGTTGAAGAGTTTAACAATGAGAGTCAGTTTTAAATACATAAAAAGAATGTGTGTTAATTTTTTTTTAAAAAAAACCCTTTTGCTACTTCTGGTATGCCTGAGAATCCAGTGCACAAATTTATTGCTACTTTTACAATACTGTTTGCAACTCATTACGTGGTCAATAAGGGCTCTGTTGTCTTGATTGAGTTCATCAACGAGCTTTTGAAGATTTATGCACAAGGTTTCCAACTTCCCAAAAGTCTGGCTGGGCTACAGAAAATGACTGACTTTTTGTCTATCACCAAAGGCATCAAGCAATTTGTGTCATGTCCAAACTGCTATTGCCTCTATGAAGAAAACATGTTCATACCTCCCCATTATGTTTTTACAAACGTTGGTGCATGCTCTCCTTGTGGTTGTAAGTTGATGAAAAAGTCAACTTCAGGTGCACTGGTATCAAAGTGAGCATACTTGTACCAATCCCTCAAGCAAGCTTTGTCTGTTCTTTTCCTTCTGTCTGGTTTTGAAAAGCAAATCCATCACTGGAACACGGAGCTTAAGATTGTCAATACTATGTGCGACGTATATGATGGAGCAATGTGGAAAGAGCTGAAGGATGCAAGTGGTGTCTTGTTTGTTGCTTGTTCTCGCTCATTAATGTTGACACTCAACATAGACTGGTTCCAGCCATTTGATGGAGTTAGTTATTCTTCTGGTGCAATTTACTTGGTTGTACATAATCTGTCTTGAGAGGTATAGTTCAAGCCTGAGAACACAATTCTGTTTGGTCTGATGCCTGGTCCCAAGGAGCCAAGATGCAAGGAGATAAATAACTATCTCAGGCTCATGGTAGACAAGATGAAACAGTTGTATGCTGAAATGCAAGTCCTAACCTACAAGTGCCGATCTGGTGCTAATGTCTGTGCTGCCTTGCTGATGGTTGCGTGTGACATCTCTGCTGCCCAGAAAACAAGTGGATTTACAGCTCACAATAGTACATGTGCGTGCTACAAGTGTACAACCCAGTTTCCCAGATTGTCCAACACAAATCAGGTGGACTTCAGTGGATTCGATTATTCTCTTTGGAATATTCATAACGGTGTAGAGAACAGGCTGCATGCTGAGGAGTGGAAAAGTGCAATTACATCCTCAGAAAGGCATCAGCTAGAGGTCGAATATGGTGCTTGATGGTTGTAGTTGCAACGCCTTGGATACTTTGATCTAGTATGTGGAATGATCATTGATCCCATGTATAATTTATTCCTGGGAATGTCAAAGAGAATGATGGACTGGCACTGGAAAAATAGGGTAATTTCATCTATGGCGTAGGGTACTATTATTTGTGGAGTGGTAGCTTAAATTTCCATCACTTTTGTCTTTTTTATTTTCGACGGCAATGATAATGCTCGGTCTGTTTTATTGGATAAAAAAACGAGTTTACTCTTTTTTGTAAAAAATGTCTGCGAGATTTCTTTTTGGGACTTGTAGCCATGTCGCAGAGTCAATAGTTGTAGGAAACTTAAACCAAATGATATCTTTTGAGTGAGATAATAAAGCTTTTTATTGTTGTAATATTTATTTATAAGTATGATGAGGTTAATTGTCGTGATATTACTACAAATATTTTTGTTGTATATGCTCTACAGCCAATAAAATGTACATGACGACATGTTTTAACAAAAGCGTGTATTATTGTATTTTAGAATGAGGCAATCAATTACTGTTTAGAGAACTGCCCATTTTAACAACCGGAATAAACTATGTCATTTTGGAAGCTGGTATAATTTGGAAAGATATATATTAAATTGTGTTCCTGAACAATTTTCTATTCTTGTCAATTCTAAAGACTTAAAAAATAAAACACACGCACACAATATGTCAAACAACAACAACAATTCAGAATGCAAGTACTCTAAATGCTCTTCCAATAGCATGGGATTTGTTTTGGTGTCTACCCAAACACTCAGAAGACATGCACAACAGGATATCGTGAGACAATATCAGTCAGGATCTTCTTGTAAATTCAAATTTAAGAAAATTATTATTGAGACAATTTTAATTAAATATTTATTTTCATATAATATAGCCTCAGTTATAGAAGTAATGTCGAATGACAATGACATGGAGATTGACTTTGAAGACAATGTTGATGCCGAAGATCAAGTTGAAGGTATGCATAGTATTTTTATTAAAGTTTTATAATCATTTATAATATCTAATAATTTGATTCTTTTTTACCTAACAAAACAGCCGAAGACTTACCTCTTTTTGACATTGATTCCTTGTTTGATTCTGAAAGCGAAGATGAGGGTGTCATTGAAGCAACCATTTTGGATATTTCTGATGATGAATCTGATGATGTTAGAGGTTAGTACAAAAAGCACATATAAATCAATAAAGTCAACAAGTATTGATTTTTTTTTCAAATAGAGCACTTTTCTTCATCCAATATGCCAGTCGATCCTACTCATGCTTTCATTGCTTCTTTTGCTGCCTTCTTCATATCCAAATATGTTGTCAATTCTGGTGGTGCTGTTCTGTTAAAGTTTCTTAACGAAGTATTGGCACACTTTGGACAGTCTTTCCGTCTTCCCCTCAGTATGAGTGGTGTCAACTCTATGACCGGTCTCAGCGACGTGACTCGAGGTGTCCAGCGGTTTGTTGCATGTGGCGATTGTAACAAAGTATATGAAGAGTCCGATGTTGTTCCAGAGTGCTGTAATTTCGAGAGACTCTCTGGTAGAGAATGTGGAAACGCTCTTTTCTTTGCAACATCAAGAGCCTTGACTATCCCCAAAAAGATCTACATGTATAACTCCATAATCAAAACATTGTCTATCCTTTTTTGCCGCCCTGGATTCGAAGACACCATCAACCATTGGAGAATCAGAGTGCAAGTTCCAGGCATGATGTTTGACATTTACGACGGTACGAAGTGGAACAGTCTGAAGGATAGCAATGGTTTACCGTTTGTGAATCATGAGCGCTCCATAATGCTTACCATGAACATCAATTGGTTTCAACCTTTCGATGGGGTCACTTACTCCTGTGGTGCGATATACCTTTGCATCAACAACTTGCCAAGATCGGAACGGTACAAGAAGGAGAATGTTGTTTTCGTTGGTCTCATGCCAGGGCCCAAGGAAGCAAAGACAAGTGAGATCAATCACTACCTCCGTCCCCTTGTCGCGGAACTCAACCAGTTGTATGGCGGTGTGGTGATGCCTACCGTACAGTGCCCATCTGGTGCTCTTGTCCGTGCTGCCCTTCTTCTTGTTGCCTGCGACATTCCTGCTGCCCGTAAGACTTGTGGGTTCACCTCTCATTCAAGCACATGTGCATGCAATAAGTGCAACCGACAGTTCCCTCGCCTTCCAGACTCCAATGCTGTGGACTACTCTGGGTTCGTGTTTTCTGAGTGGGTGCCTCGCACTGATGCCGAAAACCGCCGTGATGCCGAGTTGTGGAGAATGGCCAGCAGTGATGCACAGAGAAAGAGATTGGAGAGGGAAAATGGTGTCCGATGGTCAGAATTGCATGACCTGGTTTACTTTAACCTCGTGGAGTGCACTGTCATCAATCCGATGCACAACCTGTACCTCGGAACAGCAAAGAGGATAATGGAGAAATAGAGATCTTCAGGTCTCATCACAGATGCACACTTGGCCAAAATGCAGTTGGATGCTGACAAGCTTGTACTGCCAGGGGACTACACGCCATTAGGGACAAAGATTGGGCGTGGCTTCCCATTCATGAAGGCCGATGAGTGGAAGTCTTGGTGCTTGGTGTACTCTCCTGTTCTCCTGCGTGGTCGTCTACCTGAAGCTCATCTCAATAACTGGACAACGTTTGTCAATGCATGTCAGTACCTCTCAATGCCAAGCATATCCATGGCTCACCTTGATGAAGCCCATCAATCTTTGGAGGCTTTCTGCAGAGAGTGCAAGAAGTTGTATAAAGCCCCATTCCTTTCGCCAAACATGCATCTCCATCTTCATCTGCGAGAGACTGTACTGAACTTTGGCCCGGTTTATGGCTATTGGCTTTTTAGTTTCGAAAGATGCAATGGTATCTTGAAAAACTATGCGACAAATAGAAAAGACGGGTTTGAGGGAACCTATATGAAGAAGTATCTTGAAGAAGCATACCAGGGAGATCTTATTCGCCAAACTTTGCCAATAATTCGACCTGAGCATTCGGCGATCATCCTTGAGCTCACTGCATCCACTGCCAATTCCATAGCCACTTCCACTTCCACTGCCACCTCAATCCAATTCGATATCAATGCTTTTCTTGATTCTCCTGAGATCAACTTTGATATTGTCAAGGGAAACGAGCCTTTGCCCCCTTCCGCACTTCCTTTAGCTCTAAAGGGGGAGATTTCCATGGATGAATCCGAGTATGAGCATTTGTTGGAATACTATCGCGAGACATACGATGATCAAACTCTTGTTCATTATCGTCAGGCTGGTCATTCCGATAATTTTGTTAACAATCGGATACAGAAGTTTGAATCAATCAATCTTCTTGGGCAAATCTACAAGAGCAAAACGAAGAATCAGCGTGGGTCGTTCATGCAAGCCTTGTTTGAGACAAGTGATGGTAGAAGTACCAAGCCATACGCGGGCCAAATTCAGTACCTCTTTGTCAATACTGCTGTAAACTCGTTTGCTGGTCATGCGAGCCAGCATGTATTTGCATATGTACGATGGTACAAGGAAGTTTTACTTCAGCCCAGAGCAGGAGAAGGAGTTGAGGTGAATGAGGTGGGGTTCGAAGATGACAGCATGAACAGCATTCTCCCAGTGCATAGAATCTGCTATCCAGTCGCAGTAGGCGAGCACCTTGGTCTAGAAGGCGA